AGTGCCGCTGCCTACTTCTCCATCTTGCCCCAGACCTAGCCTGGAATATTTTTAATGGAGATATTTTACATCAAAAGATGCTCAACTTTCCTTAGACAATTGGAAGAGCTGCTTCCCTGAGGCCCCCATCCTCCACAGAAACTGAGAAACAGGTGCCATCTTTAGAAGGGCCAAGATGCTTCACTTTTGCCCTAGTCCCATTGTTCCTACTACCTACTTCACTCATTCACAACACCTGCCACATGCCTACAGCTATTCACATTGGCAACCTCTGTCCCAGGACCTAACTGCTGGGGCTGTAGATCCCTAGCCATGACAGAACCATGGGTGGACTCCCAGGACTGGAAGACATTCCCATTGTCAGTAGACTCTTGAAGGTTTGGATCATGAAACCTCAGAAAGTTCAGAAACTCATCTCCCTTTGACTCAGTCAAGAGGAACCTAAGAGATGGGCTGACCCCCTTAACAGTGAAGCCCTTTGTTTACACCAAACCTTATGTTGTTATTGTTAGGTACTGTCAAGTCCATTCCCACTCATTTTGACTCTGTGGACAACAGAACAAAAAATTGCCCAGTCCTGTGTCCTCCTCACACATGCTGTTACCCTTGAGCACATTGCTGCTGCCACTGTGCAAATCCATCTTATTGGGGTCTTCCTCTTTTTTGCTGACCTTTCACTTTACCAAGCATGATGACCTCTAGGGACTGGTCCCTCCTGGTAATATGTTTAAAGTATGAGAGATGAAGTCTCGCCATCCTGGCTTCTAAGGAGCATTCTGGCCGTACTTCTTCCAACACAGATTTGTTCTTTCTTCTGGCAGCCCATGATACTTTCGATATTCTCCTCCAACACCATAACTCAAATACATCAATGCTTCTATGGTCTTCTTTATTCACTGTCCAGCTTTCACATGCATATATGGCTTGGGTCAGAAACACCTTAGTCCTCAAATTGACATCTTTGCTCTTCAACACTGTAAAGAGATCTTCTGCAGCAGACTTGCCTAGTGCATTTTATTTCTTGTCTAATGTTGATTGATTTCTTTCTTTTTTGTTTTTAAATGGAAACAACCTTTATCAACAAGTAGATAAACAAAATGTGGTATATACAGGGGAATATTATTCAGTCATAAAGAGAAATGAAGTCAATACATGCTGCATCATGGATGAAGCCTGAAAACATGCTGAGGGAGATAAGTCAAAAGAACAAATATAGTATGATCCCACTTACATGAAATATTCAATGTATAGAGACCACCTGGGGTAGGAGAGAAGTGGAAAGGTGAAGTCACTGCTTAGGTGGGATTTCTGTTAATGATACTGAATAATTTGGAAAAGTATAGTGATAACATTGTACAACACAATAGACATATTACTGAATTGTACACGTAACAACTGCTACATCTATATTTATTTTGTTATATATATTTTACCACAATTTTTTAAAAAGAGAGAAGAAAGCCAAACAGTGGTGAGAGAATTCCAAAAAGGCAAGTCCCCCCACCATCCAAAAAAAAAAAAAA